TGCCGAAGGCTTCATACCTTTCATGAACATCTGCAAATTTTACTTTGACAGATTACTGCTTTTGAGTACATCTGCATACATCGATAGAGGAGTTACATACCTATATAAAAAATCGCATCTGAACAAACAGAGGTATGGAAGATATACCTTATATTAGCACCAATCTAACTGATTTTCACTGCTATGTGATCGGTATGTAAACCGACACAATTTATTGGGTTTAGTTTCCTACATAAAGGAGATATATCGCAAAAACTGGTATCTGAACAATCAGTGCTATAGGAGATAAAGCTTATACAGCATAGATTTTGACGATTTTCTCAGTAGACTTTGTATTATTATTTATAAAATATCTTACGAAATTTATCGGTTTTAGCTGTTCAAATAAAGGAGTTTTACAGTAAAATCCCATATCTGAACAATCAGATGTATGGAAGATATATGTTGTAGTCACCCGATCCTTGTTATTTTCACTGTAAGTATTCTGTTAATAATGAGTGAAAATGGTGCGAATTTCATGTTCCTAGCTGCATAAATGCATGAATTATAACGAAAAATCTCATATCTGAACAATCAGTTGTATGGGAGCTATAGGTTATAGTTATCCGATCTTTTTAATTTTCACTGTAAGTTTTCTGTTGATAATTATTGAAAACAGTGCGGAATTTCCTGTTCCCAGCTATATAAATGGAGGAGTTATAACGAAAAATTTTATATCTGAACAATCAGTTGTATGGGAGCTATAGGTTATAGTGAACCGATCTTTGTAATTTTCACTGTAAGCATTCTGTTAATAATGGGTGCAAGTGCTGCAAAATTTCATGTTCGTAGCTGCATAAATGTAGAAGTTATAACGAAAAATCTCATATCTGAACAATCAGTTGTATGGGAGCTATAGGTTATAGTGACCCGATCTTTGTAATTTCCACTGTAAGTATTCTGTTGATAATAGGTGCAAGTACTGCAAAATTTCATGTTCCTAGCTGCATAAATGGAGAAGTTATAACGAAAAACCTCATATCTGAACAATCAGTTGTATGGGAGCTATATGTTATAGTGGTCCGATTCTTCCGGTTCCGACAAATGATTAATACATTATAAAAATACACCCACTTACCAAATTTGATCCGGATATCTCGAAAACTGAGAGACTAGATTGCATACAAACAGACAGACAGACGGACAGACGGACAGACGGACAGACGGACAGACGGACAGACGGACAGACGGACATGGATAAATCAACTCAGCTCGACGTTCTGATCAAATAAGTATACATTTTAATGGGTCTATCTCTTTTTGTTCTGGTACTTACAAACATCGGACCAAAGTTATAATACCATTTCATGCTCATGAAAGGTATAAAAATGATAATGTGTTGGTGGTAATGCACGGAAAAAAATTTCTGTGTTGTATAACTTATTATAAAAACTTTGGTATGTTTTTTGCCGTTTTTTCACTGTGCGTTTTTTTTTTAGATCTAAACAACATAGAAACATATAATGAAAGTTAACGGCCCTGAGAAAGGAAAAATTGGTAAAATTTCGTATGTATTATATAAAATTATAATTATTTTTTTTATAATTTAAGTGTGGATTTCTGAACAAAAAAGATAACGTGCTTCGAGCACTCTGAATATTAAAAGAAAATTTCGTTGATTTCAAGAAGAAATAAAATGAAAATATATATATCTAATATAAATTTATTTTAAAATTAGGTAAAACTTGGCATTTAAGAACAATTTAAAATAACGACTAAACCAAAAGATAAATAACAAAACATATTGTATGTTTTAATTGAGACCTAGTCTGGTATTAAAAAAAATACATAATTCACAAAGTTCTTTTAATATGGAGGAAAAGCACGACTTGGTACCATATACATACCTATTTCTAGGGGTGTACGTACGAAAAATTGTGTTATAAAATTTTTGAATGAATATTCATTCATTCTGCTCAGCGTACCTACTTTATTCAACTAATAATGCGTCATCAACACTAATTGTTATTTACATCATTTAAAATGAATTTAAATCGCAAAATTTTATGAATTGGCGTAAATTTGGTAAGCCAAGCGTTGGTAGAAGTGCTTTTGGAGAAGCTGAAAGATAAAATAAAAGTAAAAAAGTAAAAAATAAAAAAGTATGTATACACAAAGAACGTAAATGTACATTTACGTTCTTTGAATCATGCCATTGCAGAATACCTGGCTGATCTGAAAAAGTCAATAGATTGTGAATACGCACCATAAGAAGAAGAAGCACTAAAATGACAACCAAGCTGTCGTCGGTGGGAGAAACAGTCAAAACAACAACAAAACATACAAACAGTGGATATATTTGGAAGAATTTACTTGCCACATGTCCACAGAGAATGGGAATGTGCATCATAGTAAGCCATCTATTAGCAAATAACAGCCTTTCTAATAAAAGCAGGAACATTTGCGGAGGTAATATCTGAAAACTTTGTACTACACGTCATAGAACTGGGCGTCGGTGTGGCATTGCTAAAACTGTGTGCGGCACAAAAGACAACAAAAGAAGTGATCAACATGAACGGCAGCTCTGCAGCAACTACACCAACGCTTCATAAATTGTCATCATTGAAGCCGGCTCGGGATTTAACGTTAGGCGGACGTGGTGGTGGTGGCGCTGCCGCTAATAATGCAGCCAAAAAAGTATTCACGCCCAACCTCAATGTGGTGCGCAACAAGAACACGTGAGTTGTACATAGTATAAACAAAACATTTGTTGCTAAAACGATATAAAACTGCATGAATCATTTTTGTTTCTAGCAACGTTAAAACATCGAAAGACACCACAGCGCGTGGTGGTCGTGGAGGCGGTCGAGGTGCGCGTGGCGGACGTGGCGCTGGCAGTGGATTGCGTGGCGGTCGGGGCGGTGCTGCTGGCGCTGCTAATTCGTCCCTCATACAAACTACCGGCGTTTTCTCAGAAGGTGCTGGTGCTGTTAATATACGCAAAACCAGCTCAGGAGGTTCAGGCTTTGGCAGTCGAACCAACGATGATGCAACCGCCTCACAAATGCGTAGACCAACAATTATCAAAAGTGAACACTTGAAGAAAATTGATTTGAAAGCAGATGAAGAGCATGTACGTGAATTACTGGGTGATACGGACGAAGATGATTTCGGAGATGAAAAGACTGAATTAGAGCAGATACCGGTCAAATTAAATGAGGGTAAGTAAAAGTGATGGTCAGACATTCATATTTTGAAACCAAAAGTGCGTGGAAGTCGAAATATGAACCCACTATATAGTCGACTTCAAGAAGATCATTTGGTACATTAGAAAGACAATTGACCACCTGTAGTACGCAAAGTAAGAAGGCTAGTGCTTGAGCGGCTACTGGATATCAACTAGTTAACTATTGTGTTGGTTGTAACGAATTACACTTTCTTGGCGTTTTTCTTTTTTACTATTTTTGGTTTGTCCATTTATACTCTCCCGCCGACACAAACATGCATACCTTAACTAAACGATCACCCCACCCCAATAATACACTTTAGTCAAGTGGAAAACCATTAAAGCAGAAGTAAAGCTTGAAAAGTTAGATGTTGGAATGAACGGTGTAGATGGAAAGATAGAAAACTCCGGTGAGTGCGTATCTACGTTGTAGAAAAGTGCTTTTGTAACTTGTGAAAAATCCAACTACATCACATAGTATTCATGCATTCCATAAACAAAATTGCAAATCATACTTGGCATAAACTATTTTTAAATGCATTTTGTGGAAACATTTTAGAAATAACTGCATTTTTTCTTAATTTCTTATATAGATTCTGCCGTCGCTATTGCACAAACATTACAATCGTTGGCTGTTAAGCAGCATCAACGCACAAATAGTGCCTTGGCACGGTATCCTGCGTCCGTAGGTGAACTACTGGACTTGTCACAATCTCAATTGTTACTACTGCAGGTACGTACCGTGAACAACGATAAACCATAGAAATACAAATTCAATCTAATAATACAATTTAGCTGCCAGATGCATTACCATGTGAAGGCGATGTAGAGGAAGTAGCTGATAAAACACTGCAGGATAAAGTACGATAAATATTTTTCTTGGTTAATTTAAAAGTTCGCTTTTTAATATTGCATATTCATATTGGTTTTTCAGAAAGCATCAGCGGATACGCCATCTACATCACAAAATCCACCCGCTTCGAAACCCCCTCCAAAACGTATATCTCTTAAAGAAATGGAGGAAGGTAAAATTGGCAAATTGCTGCGTTATAAATCGGGTAAAGTAAAGCTCGTATTCGGCAATACATATTTCGATCTGAATATGGGCATGGAAACGGGTTTCCTACAGGTAAGCTAAAAGTTTAGATTATGCAGTGTATCTTATCAACCAATTATTTAATTTTCCAGGACCTCATGTCGATCAATACGAATCGAGAAGAGCGTAGTGGTAACATGATTAATCTGGGTCCCATACAAGCCAAACTCACCGCCACACCCGACTGGGAACATCTAATGGAGCAGGAGGAACGGCGGCAGCGGCCAAAGCCAGCATAGCATCGCAAATGCATTAGTTTACGTTTATATAAATTTAGTAATGTATTATTTGTTGTTTTAATTTAACAGCTACTTGTAGGTAACTATAGTCATAGTAAAAGCTTAACCGAAATAGGCATATTCTGTGAAATTAGGTAGCGTAGTGAAAGCGCAAAGAATTTAGTAACAATGCATCCTACTTTTTGTAATACAGTGTACACATGAAGAAACTGATATCTATAAATGGAAAATCCATGTAAATTGCTACTTTAATTCAATTAGGTTACAAGTTAAGGAAAAATATGGGAGATCAAATTTAACTTGGGAGCACAAGAACCGTTAAATTCAAAAAAAAATATGAAGTTTGTTAATGAGTGCATGTGCGACACAAAATTCCTATATTCAATAATTTTGTTGGGCGACAAATTTAAAATTTTCAAATAAAACATGCAGAACATTACCAGATTTATATGTACATACATAAATTGCAAACTTTTCATTTCACTTTATTATTTTGCGCCATTGACGATTTCTGCGAACGCAACACTCAATAACGTTAAAATATGTATAAGGAAAGCACTTCAAAATCTGTTATACTACTTGATAACGATCCACTTAGTTTCTAGCTTCTACAGCTTGCTGTAATTCACCCTCTTGGGCGCCACTTGTGGCTGGTGTACCTTTACCACCTGGCAGAGTGGTGCGCCCTCGATAAATATTGCCTTTCAAATCCAAGGAAAAGTTGTAATCAACTGGATTGGCTAGCGCCTGTTCGATAGCGGTATCAAGATTTTCGCGGGTTACATATGTCTTTGCTAATTCTTTCTCTCGCCTAACAATTTCTTCAGCTCGCTCCAAACGTTCTTCCTCGCGCAAACGCGCTGCGTCTAAACGTTCGCGAATTTCGCCAGCCTGTCGTTCACGGTCCTTCTGCAAACGTGCATTTCGTTCAGCGGCAATCGCTTGATTCCAAACTTCATTCTCTTGCATACAACGTTGGAACTCGGCTTCTTCCTGCTCTGGTGTGAGTACAATGTGATCAGCAGTGGTTGTTACATTCAAACGCAAAACCTCTTCGCGTAAATACTGCCGTATAGAGCGCATTTGTAATCTAATTATGAATTAGGATTATAAACTATTTTTGGGGTATAACGGTATATATTATAGGAATACTTGTAATTGTTATGCAGTCGCATCAATTCAGCTCTTTCATCCGCATTTTGTTCCTTGCGCTCCGGCACACGGTACAATTTACTTTTCGCTACAGGTAACCAACGGGGCTTCCGACGCCAGCGCACAAACTCAAGGCCCAAAGCGGAACTGGTCGTTTTTGATTCATTGACTGAGAGACGAGATAAAAGACCGGTGGTAGTACGCAACATTTCGGGTAATAAAATTCAACTGTACAGCCCGTTTTTACGAAATTATGTTACGGTAGGTTAGTTAAATCGAAACAGCGGTTTAAATGCAACTCCTTGGTCCTTGTCTGTAAAAAAAAAACGTACTATTTTAAAGGAATAAATAATTATATAATTCTCCACTTACCAGTGAAGTGGCCACCAAAACTCCAAATCAATCGCCTTGCCGCCCGAATTTCGCTGGGCCCTATATCAGTTAAATGACAGTTTGACACGCAAAGTAAATCCTGCTTATAAAACCGTTAATTAAGAGCTTGTTTATTTATAAAACACGGTTTTAAGCAGATTTCATACCCATAAGAAACGTATTTACTGCATGTGGTCGAAAATAACAAATTAGCAATGTTGCTAAAACAATGTGTTGAAAAGGTACGAGATGAAGTTGGGCACAGCCTGACCACGATGAACAAAGTCGTATTGAATTATTTTAAAAGCAACGTTTAACTGAAAAATTCTGTCAAAAAAAGCGTAGGGCGGAGCGTTTTCTGACGCCTAGCTTTAAGGCCAAGGGCCCATTTCTATACAAAAGCGTCAACGCTACGTCAAATGTAGAAATATTACCAACAATAAGCATAGCTTTGTTTGTGGGTAACACGAAAATGACAGTTTCGCCGTTTTCTGCAGCCAACTTCAATACCTAACGCCCTGTCAAGATCGGATTTTCCAACCATTCTGCGTTGACGCCGCGTTGTTTTGGTATGCTTCATACAAATTGTATGGGCATGAGAATTTTTTGACCGCCAGACAACGCAAACGCTTTTGTTTAGGTATGGCAGTATGACTTACATTTAAATATTTGGTCACTAAATTAAAACGAAGCCTCAGATCAAAAAGTTACATCAATAAATAAAAAATAAAAATAAGTTCCTATCAGGCCGCTTCTGAACAGAATCTCCGTGGGAGTTTTCTCTCTTTTCCCTTTCCTCCTATAATGAACGATTGACGATTTTTTACTTTAAATTATGGAGTTGGGCTGTCATATAGCTCTTTCTAAGTTCGAGTTTCCTCCGCCCAAATTCCTCCTCGGTAAAAATGCCATTTTTATTCGAGGATATTTTTAGCGGGAAAAACTAGTCCCCGGATAACAAACTCCCTGGGAGTATTCAGAATTGGTCTGTATTTCTTATTGATTGATGGCACTAGTTACCCAACCGACGTTAGCACCTCATTAGTATAAATATTAAGATTTTTGTATTGCAATCGATAGTTCGTCGATTGTTATTTACTGGTTGTCCATTTATAACGTTTGTTCGTTATACCCTTTTCCCACACCATCTTCAATTACTTTGGTCGCTCCTCCTATTACGATTGCAAATTACCTCATTCCCACGGGCACATTCTTAATTCGATTTCACAGTTCTCTGTCTCTGTGTTTTGTTTTTATTTTCTTTGCAGAAAAATTGATGCAAAATGTAGGTTCCTCCTAAAAATTTATAGTTTTCCGTAAAAAATTAGTGATATACACATTTATAAACTTTACTTCTCGTACTCAGAGGAAATACAAGTTTTGACTTGTGAGCTGGTTTCGATAAATTTTCTATAAAAATTAGGCACCGACAGCACCGATTTGTTCGTAATTCGCATGGTAATTGGATCTGAATTACCAAAAAATGAGGTAATTCGCTATAAAAATTTTGTATGGCGAATTACGTTATTCTAAGGTTGATTAGAGTGCAAATTACGAATGAGAGATCGAACTACGTAATTGGGGTGGTGTGAGAAAGCCGCATTAGCCACACAGTAATAGGGGTCTTCATCTAAAGTAATAAAGCGATAGATTGCTTAAATTTGCCCTTGGTAAATAATTGCACAAAATTGTTTATTATTTAACTTATTTGACTAGTTACGTTTCATTCTTACTTCATCCATTGTGCTAATTTGCTTTTTATGTGTTCGTAGCAAAATCGAGCATCTTTAAGTCTGTCAGGGGAATTGTTAAATGTCAAAAAATTAATTATAAATGTTTGGCTGAAGACCAAACGTCAAAAATGGACGAACAATGAAGAACAATCGACAACTATCGATTCCAATAATAATTAACCCAAAATAATCTATTGGAGGTGCTAGACACAGGAATTACGTAAAATAAAAATTGAAAAATTAATTATTACTGTATGGCTAACAAACAAGTATTAAAAATGGACGAACAGTAAAGAACAATCGACGAACTATCGATTGCAATACAAAAGTCCTAATATTTATACTAATGAGGTTCTAACGTCGGTTGGGTTTGCATTTTTTAGACATCTAAACTCAACGTTTCATTTAATTTGAACCACCCTACAAATATCAGTGCCACCAAGTTTCCTTAATCCTAAGTTGTCAGTACTGTCTTTTATTTCGCTTCACGTCTTTTTTTCGTCGTAGTTTGGGCTACACTTTTGGGTTATTCCATCTATTTTCATAAATTCTTCATAAATTTTTCAGTTTCTTTTAGACTACAAGGAGAAAAGGTGTATATACGGCTTAAATGCGCACGATTGCATATGGCGGAAATTTTTTGTTTTTATTTTTTTCTACTGTATAAAAATTCCAAACGAAACGAGTGCGATAATCATAAAAGCGACGAATTAGTGTCGAAATAAAAACGAATATTGAAGAACCGGCTAAGGCAAAGACGCGACCAAGTGGAAAACGCATGTAGTGAAGTGTAAATATTATTAAATTTTTTATTCATATTTCTACGAGGTATTTCTCTCTTGCGTATGCATATTGGTTCATTCAATCGTCGCCTGCAAAAAAAAAATTCCCTTGTGTGTAGCATTTTATTGGCGTCCATGTGTGTATGCGTGTATATTTCAGGCTGTAGATTTGTGTGCGTTCTGCTTTCCGAACTGTTGCGCACACCTTAAAAGTGGCTTGTGGCCAAAAGCAGTCAGTGAACGCCGACAGGCACGGCGACGGAGGCAGAGACGTCAACGACTGCGACGACGACCGTTCAACAATAGCAAAAAAGTGTAAATACATAAGTAGCAGCAAACGATGTAGTGCATAGAAGACGGGAGACGGAAGTGAAGACGGTGACGGAATATGAGATAAAAGACGAAACAGCAAAAAAGCAGATAATGTGATTGAAAGAAGTGGATGTTAAAATAAAGACAAATTAAAAAAGCGAAAATAGAAGGGGCAAAGCAATAAGTAGCCAAGAGTATGAAAGTGTTTGTTATAAATAGTTGAGTGTTGGCAAAAGGGGAACTAGCGTAGAGCAGAAACGAAAATAAAGTAAAAGGGGAGAAATTAGAAATTGTAGCAAAAATTATGTTCGGTGAGAATTTGCAGCGAGAACGTTATACATACACACATATGAGAAACCTTGAAAAATTTATATGAAAAATTAAAAAAATGTTAGCTTTTGTAAAAAATAGCTCTATGTAATACTAATATTGGCTCACAAGCAGTACATTGCATTGCTGTCAATCTACTGTACACAAATATCAACGTCATTGCTGTAATAAACGTCATGGACTTCCTTTTCCTTTGACAGTAACGCCATTCACCACCAAAATTCTTATATTTCTTGCAAACAACAGCGCTATTCTCGCTCAAGTCACCACCAAAAATGCATTGTGCGTAAGGTGCACCAGCAGCAAGTGCCCAACCATTGGTTAAAAAGGTGATGTAAGGGTGGCAGGGCAACGAACGCAAGCGTACGAAAAGCAACAAAACAGCGCAGCTTCGTACGCGACGTATCCGCTCTTGACGGCCTCGCAGTTGTCTGCGGTTTTGCTGCCCTCCTCTCATCTTTGCCACACTCCCTTCCACGCTTGCTTTTTATAGCAATTTTTTGGCATCTGTATGCTACAATGCGTACATTCGATTGTGCAAAGTAATTTGAGTTGATTTTTGAGTACACAATTTTGTTTTATTGCTATGGCGATTATTAAAATAAATTTATAGCATAATACAATTTTAGGTCGTCTAGAAGTAAAACCACTGCAAGGTAGACTAACCTGATTTTGTGTATAAAAATAAAAATGAGCGAAAATTTCATTTGTAAGTACAAACGGCAGTTGGTTGCAAACCACAAAGGGAAGTGGCAAGAAATTGCCAACAAATTCATAGCCCACAGCATATAATGTCTGAGGGCTCTTCTACTGCCATTGCCGCCGCCGCCACCGGAGCCGTTGTCATCGTCAATGCACAAGTACAGCAAAATGGTCGCTGCCGTGGAAGTACGATTTATGTGCCCAACGCTACGTAGGTACTTGTTTATGTATGTATGTACAGTGCATACATATCTTACTTAAGTCTCAGTCGGCTATTTTCTTGTCTTAGCGCAACTATAACATAAAACAATTTAATTTTACAGCAAATGAGCACGCATTGCCTTCTTTATATGCAAATCATAAACATAGCAATACTGTACTGTGTGCTACGCTGTGCCATTCTGCTAAGTATGCTGCTGATGAAGTCAAGTGAATCGGGTGAAGTGGTTGCAAAGCTGCTGACGGTGGCAATCTAAATGACTTGAGCGTAGAATTGAGGTTTTTTGTGGGGGCTTGCGGCTCTAAAGCAAAAGAATTCACTTATTTATGCTGTCTAATGTTTTTATTCGTCAACTAGCTTTGCTAGCTTGTCGACGGTTTTTTCTCTATTTCGCGCATTCGCATTGCTGCCTTTCCCCTTTAAGTACTTTTCCTATTTTATCTTCTTTATATCGTTCACATTCATTCATTCATTTTTTAACTGTTCTTATGTGCTCTATACTTCATATTGGAAAAAATTAAATTGAAATTCAAAACGAGTTACTGTCAGTTGTTGCAGTGGCAGTCAACGTTATCTCAAATGACGGCAAATTGCTGCGCCATGTACTTCGTATGACGTCGTGCAAAGCCAGTTGTGCACTGCCTTTAACTGCGCTGCGGTTCTGTCAACATTCTCACACAGCTGCGCAAGTGTCTATTGCTCGTCGGCAGAAGCTGCGCTGCCATTCTGCCGTGTTGCCTCACGAAAGGGCAATTTCACGAATTGGCTGGCGTTTTTTGCTTTTGCAATGCTTGTGCATTTCTCATACATACGTACATATGTATGTGTATAAGGGCATTTAACTGTTGTGGGCACTCAATTTTTGTTTGCAATGAACAAAGATCTTTATTTAGGTGTAATAATCAGACAAAACAAAACGAGAAACATAAAGCAAGGTTATTAAAATTTAGGCTTTTAAATTACAATTCCCTTTAAAAAGGGGCACTTTGATAAGCCTAGTGCCGCTTTCTTTGTTACTGCAAGCTACCTTCAAACACTCGGCAAAAGACAAATTCAATATCTAGGAACTTTACATTATTAAGAAGATATTGTGAGAATAAAACTGCAACAAAAGCACGGTGTAAAAGGCGGAGATACTAACCACTATACTATCGAGTAATAATAGCCACTATACTATCGAGAAAAATTAACGACTGTACCATCGAGGATAAATAACCAGTATACTATCGAGGAATACCAAAAAAAAAAACATCTAAAGCTTTGGAAATCTTCGCAATAAAGTGTTTGGCCGAGCTTTTAAGATTTGTGGCCTTTTTTGATGTGTCTACGTTTCATTATACAGCTTAATTCATTCTAGCACAGAAACTGCAACCACAAGACATCTATAATCTAAGCACAACACGTGTTAACTCTGGTTCTTCATTCAATTGATCTACAAATGCAGATGGGTAGGGGGAGAGGTGGTATAAACTGAAAAGTTACTGCCTTCTTATTTACCTCCTTAAAGGGAAACTGAGGATTATCATAAGCATTCTCATGGAGTTGTGCAGGCTAAGGTGTCATCTGGTTTCAATAGCAATCTGGTAAAATGATCTTTATCGGTTCTGTAACTCAGCTTAAGATACGCCACGGCTCCTGCTCCTTGAGTGTGATGCCTTGGAATGTGAAGATGTAGGAATAAACGAGATTTTATGATGAGTAGAGGGCACAATATATCCCTTGGGTTGCAATGTATATCGTTATTAATTATCTATCTAAAAGCATAGACAGACGGCAACGTTGATCCGGATTAACACCGCAATTGATCTGATCAAAATTGTGCCTTGACAGACGGCAGTAGGGTTCGAATGATACTATCGATATTGAGTAAGTATCGATACTGAGGGTATAAAAATGAGTACTTTAATACTCGATACCTTATTTGGTGATTTTACTCGATACTTTCCAAAGTACTCGTAGTATCGAATACTTTTTAAAAAACACACTTTTTAAATTTTGTCTTCCATTGGCAACCCAATTTTCTTGGCTTATATGGATAACTATCATTAAATTTTGTCCATCACTTAAAATAAACTGAAATTTCGTGTAGTCTGTTACATAACATAAACCAAATAAGTTTAAGTTTAATGGCCTTATTCATAAAAAATAAAGTAGGCTTAAAGAGCTTAAATAAAATGACTCTTCATACATTTTTCAGTTTATAAACCTTTTTTATTTTTATGAATAAGGCCATAAAACTTTACTTTAAACTTTACTTTAAAGTTCTCGAAAATACAGAATTTTTAGAAACTTTTAGGGTATGCAGTTTTGTAACCTATTCAACTTTCCGTGTAGCCTACTACCGTAGAATTTTAATTAAAACTTGCACAATATTATACAAAATTGAATAGGCTACAAAAATGCATACCCATAAAGTTTCCAAAAATTCTTAATAAAATTTAAAATTCGTGAAAGTAAATATGTGTGTATTTATGTATGTACATTTAACGTTTAAATTACTTCTAACGTGGAAGTAAGTACTGCAATGAAATAAAAATCAAATATTTTAAATGTCTATTGTTTTAGTTTCAGGAAATATATATAGATATACATTGAATCATATATGTAATACTCCTATATTGGCAGTAAGAGCTAGTACCGTCCGAAAACATTACAGTACAGATATATCAATAAACACGTACGAAAGAAAAGGAACACATACGTTTATAAATAAACATGTACACGACACATTTACAAAACCGGCACTCAAGTACACAATACATTGACAAAAACAGTACTAGACTGTCTCGCTTTGATTTCGGAATGCTTACACATTGAGATGTTAACTTACTATCAATATAGAAGTATTACATATATGGATTGAAGAACAAAATAATTTTAGTATCCCAAAAAACGTATTTTAATGAATCCGATACTGAGTAGTATCGATACTTTTTCCCTGATACTTTTAGAGTATCGATACCATGAGCTCGATGCCAGAATGAGTACTCAGTATCGATACCAAAGTCTGAAATTTCGAACCCTAGACGGCAGTAACGCGGATTAACGCGCCGCGAGGTCGCAGGTTCGAATCCCACTGCAAGTAGAATATTCATTTAATTTTTTTTTCTTGATTCAATTATAACTTCTACTTTTTCATACCCGAGCGCACTTGTGCACAAGGGTATATTAATTTTGTTCACATAACGGTTGTTTGTAACAGCCAAAAAATGTATACATAAATGCTCAGAATGAATAGAGAAGTCGACTAAGCCATGTCTGTCTGTCCGTCCGTCTGTCCGTTCGTACGACAACTCGAACAAAAATTGAGATATCTAAACGAAATTTGGTATGAAATTTGGTTTCCGTTAATCCAAGGTAGGTTGGTATTGAAAATGGGCGAAATCGGACTGTAACCACGCCCACTTCCCATATAACGGTAATTTTCATAAATACGAAAACTGCGATATTTTAGTAACTACTGCAGGGTATTCACTCAAAATCGATATTTACAATAATTTTCAGACGAAAAATAAGAACATTATAAATTTTTGGAAAATTGGCGTAGCCACGCCCACTTATGGTTACATGTGTATATCTTGGTAACCGCTGCACCAATTTCTTCTAAACTAGGCACAGTTGTTGGCCTTGGTACAGCATTCCAAATGGCCGAAAATTTAAAACATCGGACAATAATCACGCCCACATCCCATATAACGGTTATTTAGAGAAATACAAAATCTTCGATAAGTCAGTAAATATTAAGGGTAATTTATTCAAAATGCATGCTTGCAACAATTCTTTACCAAGAAATACGTTTATGGTAAAATTTTTGGAAAATGGGCGTGGCACCGCCCACTTATGATCACATATATGTATGTATATCGGTAACCGTTCTTGCAATTTGTACCAAACGGTTATTGTGCTTGCCACATAAAAGCAAAACGCTGGAAATTATTGAAATCGGACTAAAATTACGGCCGCTTTTCAAATAACGGTAAATTTCAGAAATGCTTGAAACAACAATATTTCGAATTTAAGGACGCTAATTTACCCAAATTTGATACACCCCGGCTTACCATCTAGCGGTAGCTTTCGGAAATGTCAAAAGACATATATTTAATACTTGCGCCGGGTATTTAATGTTCGGCTCCATCCGAACTTAGACCTTCTTGCTTGTTTTAAATTGTTTTTATTTAGCTGTTTTTGACTTTTTAGTAAAAAAAACTTAAATTAACTATTAATAACAAAAAAATGTGAAACAAAATAAAACAAATGAAAAAAAAAATAGAAAAATAAAATTAAATATATAAATAAAATAAAATTTAGAAAAATAAAAGAAACAATAAAAACTATTTTTTTTGGCAATCGCTCCAACCGAGGATCGAACCTGGGACCTACAGGCTTGCAGTACGCAACTCTCACCACTTGGCTACCGCGGATGAAGGAATCGGTTACTTTATTTGCTCAGTTAGACATCCACCCTGTCGTCGCTAATGCAGTCACCGAAATAAGTTCTTATTCATTTTAAATTGGATCCCTGTTCGAATTAGTATTAGTGACTGCATTACCGATGAAAGGGTATATGTCCATGCTAATTTTGCATTCAAGTCCCTTGTTAGTTACATATATAAAGCCAAAGTTCTGAACACATTGAAAACGACGAGCTACAGACCCCAGCTTCCAATTTATCATCTTCATTATCTAAACGCTTTGTCGATGGCGACATGATTTCTTTGAACGCGGCAGCGACATCATGAATTTGTATGAGTTTGACATAAAAGAAGAGGAAGAACCTTATCTGTCGCCAGAAAAATAGAAATAGATCTAATCTGGCCACAACCACAGCCGTCGCGTAGCCCGGTCGTCGGTACATAAGAGTACGTGTTAAAACAATTTTACAGCTGTGGTTTGTAGCTCGTTGTTTTCATTGTGTCCGGGCTATAAATGTCTGAGCACAAAATATTTTGAAACACCTAACTATGAATACAAAGGATGAAATTAATAGCAATAATCCCTCATTAATACTAAAATTATATAAGTTCGTTCACGAATAAATAATGTAATCGAATCCAATGAGAACAATATAGTTACCATAAAAGTTGGCCCTAAACACAATTTTCTGCCAAGCCGATTTGATAAACTAAGCTAGTATCGAGAGTTCATATTAGTTAGGTAAGGTTAGGTTTGCTCAAAAACTTCTTATAGCATCCAAATCACCAGAGACAGAGGAACATACTTACATATATTCGATAGGGCCTGAGTTCGTTGCCTGGTAGCGGAATAAGGTAATAAGCTTATTTTTCAATAGAAAGAACTTACCCCAAAAAAATTGTCTGCTGTTCAGAGGATCAGCTAAAATGTAGTCCCTTCATTTCTGTGGGGAAGAAGTTCGTCCAAATGCTTAGTAAAAATGTGAATGCCAATTATGTAAAGACTTAAGACGGGCATGTGTATTTTAGTTTGAATGATTTGTTTATATACTGCGGAAAAATAAGAGGTATTAACTATACAATTATCGAACAAAATATAAAAATATATATCCTACTTGAACAATTTCAATAGTAGAATAATATTCTTACTTTCAATTTCAGGTTTTCTTTGTGTTCTCTCGTTTGCTGTGGTTCCTTAGAAATTAACTGCAATAATAAAGTGGATTAAGTATAATTTTACACAATCACCAGTATTTTAGTGATCACGACATAAACCTAAAAAATTTGTTTGCATAGTGATTTTCTAAAAAAAGGAAAAAAAAATATTACGCCACTTTGCATTAAACCAAACGTCTTTTTTTAACACTGAAAAGTAAAAAGTAAATACATAAGTTTATTTTTAAACGAAAACACGCGCTTAGCAGCAAGAACCGAAAAGTGAAACGAAGTTTAAAGAGCATAAACAAAAATAATTATTCCCAATAAGAAACGAGTGTGTTAATCATAACGTAATAATCGCCTTTTTCATTTCATTTCTGTTGAAATTTAATTTTGTTTGCTAATTTTGTTTTTGTTTTTGTTGTTAAACACACAAAAACCGGCGGCAGGCAAATCTGTATTTTTGCCTACCGAAAGTTAAGTAAAAAATTTATGCTTAAATGGATGCAACATCAATAATCACACAAGTCTCACGCGACGATGAGCAGTTGAACGTGTGTGCAAATGAGAAAGGTGAGTACCATAATTAAAATCAAATATCTCGTATAAATATAAAACTTTTTTATTAGTACATATTATAAGTATTATCTTAAGAACTTTAACAAATATCAAATTAACGAAGCGCAACATAATAAAATGAAAAAGAAATGATACAGAACCATGGCTGTTAACTATGTGGAAGCGATTGAACAAAGGAATTTTAAATGTGACAAGCTGGCTATTAGGTTGCTTGCTTGTTTGTTGGTAAGCATGAGTGGGTTCCCGCCAGTTATTCAGTCGGGCAGTATCAAGAGGCGAGACATGCGCGTGCTGGCGGCCGCAACAGCAGTCGCCATCTCATTGCCACCGCTGTCGTCGTCGTCGTCGTCGTCGTCGTCATTGAAAGGGGAGCAATAAATGCAAGTGGGAAGCCCTGACTGGGTGGAAGAGTTGCTTATCGGGTTGTTGTACTGGTTGCTTGCTTGCGCCTAATTTCATAGCAGTTTGTGTGCTTGTTTTGGTATTACTGTGCGCTTCTTTTTTATGCCAGACACACAAAATGAGTCATCGGCAACCTGCCGTCTGTGAGTCCAAGCAACAACCAACGCAACGCACATTAATGGCAGCATGTACTATGCATTTATTTAGCAACAGCCAAGGCAATGGTCACAAGGATATGTGCGATAACAGTGGTTGTATTTAGCGAATACTTGCATTTTATCGTAGAAAAGGGAGCTAAATCGTCAAAGAAAGAAAGGCGAATATTTATGTTATCCCTCAACTTTTTCAGGCGTTAAAATTTATATGCCATTGGCATCCCCCATTGATTTGGTAGTGGGGTTTGGAATAAGAAACGAATTAGGCTTCAAAGTTAAGTTTTTAACTCAATGTGTTTTCAGACATCTTAATTGAGAAATCGCCTTTAGTGGTTGGAAGAGCTAAAAAATTAAAATAAATAAAACCTTTTTTGAGCTTGACTATGCCTTATTTGTGTGTATAAATAAATAAATGAAATGAAAAATATCGCAAAATATACATAAATATGTGCATACTATGCATATATCTCATGGTTCCCGACCACCCTAAGTTTCGATGCCTACTTGTCTTTTAATTTATTTAACCTTTAAGTAACTCGCTGTCTAGATCAACTAATATTTCAATTATAGTCGTCAAGCTCAACTAACGTTAGTCCCAGGAAACGTGCTGTTTCGTTGGCAGCGGATAAAAGGGAGTGAGATCTTAGATGAGTGGGCTTAAGAAAGCATTTTGGATTTTAGTGGCGAGATTTTACACGCAGTACATAAGTTGGGTACGTCGTATATGTACGTCGAGCCTGGATATGTAGGAGTTTAACTGACCATAATTGTACCACAGTAACGTGGTTCTGACTACACAAAGCGAGATAAGTCTTATTTAAGTGATTTAAAGGGGGAGGTGGTTAGTGTTTGGGAACTTTTGCTGGGACATTTGTACATTGGGTCGAGTCTAGATAGGTAGAAGTTTAATCTGCCAGAGTAGCGAGACAGTAATTTCGAAAGAATAATGCGTGTTTCGAGGCAGCAAGAGTTGGTGAAAGTAGTAATAGTGTCTCTGTAAGTATCGTTAATTATCTGCCTGTAAAACTGCTACTCCGACTGGGTATGTCCATAGGTATAAGGGCTTTAGTTGAGTGGGGTTTAGGGGATAAGCGAAGAGGTGTCGGGAGTTGTGAGGTGACTCTGCAGATGCACACACTGAGCTAAATCAGAGATGGACAAAGTGGCTCCCAGAAGCCATTCGCACTTAGAAGCCGGCTTGGCACATTTAGGTGCTAGATGAGGGGGTAACATCAAGAGTCAGCATGAAGGGGGAAGAAAAGCGTAATAAAATTTCTTATACTACGACTCTCAAAATACTAATACATATGATTCTTTATTTCGAAGTATACTAATTATTTATTAGATATGAAACCTTAACCCTCATGTACACTGGCAAAATTTTGACATTTAAAATGTAACAAAAAAAAATTTAACAAAGAAAATATGAAAATATCTTTTTACAAACACTTTTGTCGCGATTAAGCTACTGTACAACAAATCAGCTCAAATTTAACAGCTCAGGAGTAGAATACATACATGCATACATAAATACTATGTATAAAAACAATTGCAGGTTTGCAGTTTTGTTTTTGCGCATTTTCTACCATTGCTGTTGGAATTCATTTCACCTTCGATCTTTTTTATCTTGTATTTGCACACCTCTGCCGGCAGCAGCAGGGGATGATTTTCGTTACGTTGAGTTTTTGCTTTTCAAGGACATTGAACTTGTTCGTCTTTATTTTATGGGATTCCTTACTTATGCATTTATTTGAATTTTTTGCAATTCGTGCAATTCAAGTGCTTACATATTGGCCGTGTTTTTTGCGCATTTAAGCGCTAAACACGCATTTTTCTTGAACAAAAGGCGAAATTATTCTTCCCACAATTGAATTAGGCGCTCGCTACAAAAAGGTTGCCAACATTTTCTAGATATTTATAGTACTTTTTCAAAAAATGGGAAAAAATATAGTACATTTCAAATAAATATAATATGTATTTTATTAAAAGAAAAAGTAAAAACGCTTTAGGTTATGGAAAAAAATTCGTCCTGTGAATGCCAAAGTTGCTGGAATAGAAGAAATAATTTTAAGTAAATTTGTTAGTTCTTTCTTAGTGTTTTTAAAAAATGTTGCCCTTTTTAATTATAAAGTCACTATGACCCTTCATTTTAAAGAATATTTCATTTAATATTGTAATATAAGTATAAAGGTCATTTTAATACAAATTTTTTCTTGCAAATTACTGAAATATATTTATATTTATAGCTGAAGAAAAATAAAGCTGCAAAAACTTATCAAATTTGTGCATACTTTCTCCAATTGCCATTTATTATTTTTTCACACAACTCGAACTATTTTCAGTTAATTTAATTTTCTATCACAACTTGTAATCGTCGCTTTTGTATTTATCTTTAGTCGACCAATTAGGCAAGGCTGCTTTATCACTTTTTCTTACGATTTATTTCGCTAATTTTTTTAATTTATAATCTTTATTGCTTTTAACGCAAATTACTTTCTTCTCCTTTTTCCTTACTTTGTCATTATTATCAGTGCACTCGCCTGCCTTTGCCGTGTATTAACTCTATCTCTAAACATATCGAGTGCATCGTTGGCTTCACTGACCGCTGGCCGCTCGTTTGCCCACCACCAGGTCGTTCGCCTGTTTGTCACAATGCCATTAGGCTACACTCGAGATGTTGTCATTCAAACGTTTTCATTACTTATACAGACGTACATACGTTCTCCAGCGTGTTGTTGTTTGCTTGCAACCATTGTAATCAACATTTATTTATTTATTTTCCCGTCATTTAACCATTTAAGCAAAGTGTAAAGGCATGTCACTGCCGCTCTAAGTGAATTCCTCTGGTTTGGTTCGCTGGTTGTTGTTGTTTTTTGTTTGTTCGTTGGCGTATTTTTCTATGGCCAATTTATTTTCCAATTAATTGCACTCACACATTGCTGTGCTGTCGTTGTTGCATTGTAGTAAATGTAAAGAAATGGAAAAAAATTAACGCACACACATACGCAAAAATAACCAAAGCAAAAAAGAAACAAAACATCGCTAAACTGCAGCAATGGGGTGTACTGGTTGTATGTACAAGACTCGTCACCCCTTTCACATTACAAAGCTCATTATCACTCGAAGTACTTATGTACATGCGAGTATATATCGCCGGTAATATTAATGACAAGCGCATTAAAACGAAGGGAGAGTCGCTTTAAAATTCTAGCGATGAAGTTGATTGATGGCAGCTTGAACTTGGTTTGAAAAAATATTCCTAATGATGATTGAGATTAGTGGAAGGAATTAAATAAATGGCAAGTCTCACTTGATTAACGTTCCATTTTCAGTTATTTTTGGCAATGTGGCACATATTTTGTTGAATTATAGTTGCGATTCCATACGAGTCCGAACTTATCAGAAATAGTTCTCACAGTTGTTCCGAACATACATTTATAATATCTTCAGTGCTATTTTTAAGGACTAATTCTGACTATGTATTTCTGCAAGTTCGGATACGTACGGGGTCCCAACTTATATGTATGTATGTAAGCAGCATAGCGCTTATTATTATTACGTTGGGTGTGGTTAGGTTAGGTTGGATTAGGTAGGGGCGTACGAGTGCACGGAGGAGTCACATCCTTCTAGCAGTTAAGCCATTTACTATCCCGAACGAAGCTGTGGAGATCCGATACTTTCGTCTCCGCTTTGTCCCCCAAACTATTGAAAAAGTGTGAGCACAAATGTTTCGGATGGCTTGTCTGAAGAGCTGGGCATTGACAGGAAGTGAAGAATCGATTCCTTTTCTTCCTCATCCCGACAACTTCGGTAGGGGTAGCTTGTTAGTATACGCCATCGATGGAGCAAAGTGCCCTGTGATGACGCACGTAAGAGCACTTACAGCAGATTTGTTTAGCGTCAATAAATCTTCAGTACGACTCTTATTGGGTCTCGGCTATAAGGAACTTAAGATCTCACAGGCATCCTGATTGATCCATAGGACATTAGTTACGGCTGTGGTGTATACTTCAATGTCCCTTAGCAGAAAAAATATCGGTGGCAGGGAGTTATCCGCTTCCCTAATTTGCATTTCAGAGAGAAGTTTTGACGTGACTCAGTGTAGCCAGCGGTGCACGAAATTACCAAACTACCATCGATTTAACTTAACCGTCTTCTCTATTTCAAATATCACCGCCGGAAAGACCCTGCAGGCGGCGATATGATTGCCTTATCTGAAGGTCCTTTGAGTACAGAGCCAAACCTACTCCTTTTTCCATCTTTGAGCCATCTGTGTATATGGAAATACCATAATTTACCTACAATAGGCCGCCTTTCCAATGTTTCTTGGTTGGAATTCCCATACAGGGAATCCTAAAACTAAAATCCCATGATGATGTGGGGTAATCAGTTTTGACATCTAAGTCGGTATTGATTCCGTTACGCTGTCCACTATTA